GCCTGTTGGGAGCCTCCTGGAACTCCTGGGGCCTCCTGGGGCTTTCTGTACCTTCTGGTGCCCCAGACCCTGCCTCGGAGCCTCCTGGGGGTCTCCTGGAACCTCCTGGGGCCTCCTGCGGCCTCCTGCAGCCTCTTGGGGCCTCCTGGAGCCTTCTGGGGTCTTCTGGGGCCTCCTGAGGCCGCCTAGGGCCTCCTGGGGCCTCCTGGGGCCTCAGAACTACATGCACACACAGAGACACAAATCACACCCAACACATCACACGCTAGACAAACATAACACACACAACACCTACAACGCACAGAAAACACGCACAACACAGGTCACACATCACACACACACACACACAACACTCACAATCCCGGGGCCTCCTGGAGCCTCTTCCAGTATCCAAGTCGGGCCTCCTGAGGTTTCCTGGGGTGCCCTGGTACACACATCGCAAGGTGTGGCAACCCCACTTGCGCTCAAGTGCGACCTCGATCTTAGATTATTCTGCGTTCGCCTCCTACCTCTTCCCCTTCTCTTAGGCACGCCCTGGCGGCGCCGCCCCAGCTTCCCCTTCTCCATCTCCGATCCTGCAGTCATTGTGTCTTCCTGCTTCAAACGCCCTTTCAGTTTTTTTGTATGAGCCTGGGCACACGTGCCACTTGTGTATATATACATATATATATATATGGATATATACACATGTCTATGTACATATATATATATGTGTATGTGTGTATGTAGGTGTGTATATATATATATATATATGTGTGTGTGTGTGTGTGTATCCCCACACGTGGCACGGGCGCCCAGGGCATGGGCCTCGAGCGCGCATGTGAGGACCAGGACCTCCAAGACCGCTCCCAGATCACCCTGGAGGGGCCGTGGAGCCCCTGACTGCCCCAGAGAGCTTCAAAACGTTCCCAGAAGCCCTCGAGGGACTTCGACAAGCTCCTCCAAGACAGCCCAGATAGCCCCAACATGGCCCAAGATGGGCTCCAGACCGCAAATACACAGCCCAAGAGGCTTCCAAGAGGCCGCAAGAGAGCTCCGAGAGGCGTCCCGAGAGAGCCCGAAGAGGCTCAAAATCTTGATGGTTATTTGTCTTTTTTCTATGTTTTTCGGTTTCTCGCGTTTTCGACTTTCCGACGCTCCAAGACGGCCGACGACGCCCCCAAGACCACCCCAAGACCGCCCAAGAGGGCCCCCAACAGAGCCCCAAGACGGCCCCAGGGAGCCCGAAAGGTGCCCAGGAGGAGCCTCAGACGGCCCAAGAGAGCCCCAGGTCAGGCCCAAATTGGGCCTCAGAGCGGGAGCGGGAGGCCCCAAGGCGCTCCAAAACGACCCAGATAGCCCCAACGTGGCCGCAGATGGGCCCAACACGGCCAATACACAGCCCAAGAGGCCAAGAGAGCTCCGAAAGCGTCCCGAGAGAGCCCGAAGAGGCCCACATCCTTGGTTTCAGGTCGTTTGTTTAATGTTTTTCGCTTTCTCGCGTTCTCGAGCTTCACCGCTCCAAGACGGCCGAAGACGCCCCGAAGATCCCCCCAAGACCGCCGAAGAGGCCCCCAAACGAGCCCCAAAATGGCTCTTGAGAGCCTGAAGACTGCCCAAGAGCAGCCCAAGACTGCCCAAGAGAATCCCTGGAGAGGCACAAGATGGGCCCCAGAGCGGGAGCGGGAGGCCCCAGGGCGCTCCAGGCCGGCCCAGATGATCCCGACGTGGCCCAAGAGGAGCTCAAGACGGCAAACACAGCCCAAGAGGCCTCCAAGAGGCCCCAAAAGAGCTCCGAGTGGCGCCCCGAGAGAGCCCCAAGAGGCCCGAATCATTGATTTGCTTTGGTATGTTTTATGTTTTTCGTTTTCTCGCGTTCTCGAGCTTCAAATGCTCGAAGACGGCCGAAGACGCCCCAAAAACCGCTCCAAGAACGCCGAAGACGCCCCCAAACGAACCCCAGACGGCTCCAGAGAGCATGCAAATTGCCCACGAAGGGCCCCAAACGGCCCAGGACAGGCCCAAGATGGGCCACAGAGCGGGAGCGGGAGGCCCCAGGGCGCTCGCCGACGGCCCAGATGGCCCTGGCCTCCCGCCTCCGTCGCTCCTTCCCTCCCGCCCCTCCCCTTGCCTCCATTCCCTCCTCTCTCCTTTTCCTCCCCTCGCCCCTCAGCTTTCGTGTTCCTCCCTTTTCTCCTGGGATGGCCCCAGCAGACCGAGCGGGGCATCGATGCACCCTATCATTTCACAAGTTGCTTTGCATCTCACACCCTTCAAGGGCGGCCCCGGCAGAGCGAGAGGGGTGTTGCTATACCATATGCGGTCCCTGTTTTATATTGCTCTTCGCACGAGGTGTGGCTATACCATAATTTTCCTAAGGTTTCGTGCGCCTCCCTCCCCTCCTGGGCAAGCCCCGCCAGAGCGCCAAGGAAACCCCCGCCAGAGAGAGCAGGGCATCCCTACACCATACTACTTCACGGGATTATTGCTCCGCCCACCCTTGCACCGCGGACCCGCCCGAGCGAGCGGGGTGTGGCTATTCTATACAATTTCTCCGGCGTCGTGCCCCTCCCCCACCTCCTGAAAAGGCTTCGCCAGAGCGCCAAGAAGGTACCCCCAGAGGCCCCGTCAGCTCCG